CTGCGATTGCTCTCTCTCTCTCTCTCTCTCTCAAAGATAAACCTCCATTAAAAGCGCTCTCGAACGGCCGAAACTTTCCGCTGCTGAGGGATTTACTCGTTGGCATTCCCTTGTTTGTACTTTCGGCCCAGCCAGAACGTCGAGTGTTTCGTTGAATGGTCCAAAATCCGGCCTCAAAGGAGACCGTGTTTAACTGAAGACCAAGCAAGCTCACTAAAACTCAAACACCCTCCGCCCATTAATTATTACCCACGGGCAATGCTCGATTTTTCGGCAAACATTGAAGCCCAATGTTGATTTTGGCGACGGAACAGGAAAAAAAAATCCAAGTGGGTGGCAATTAAAGAGGCCCTTCAAAGGATTGCCAAAGGAGGGACGAATGTTTTTTTATTTTTGTCTGCTTTTAAAAAACGATTTGCCGGAAAATCTGAATTGCAAAAATTTCACGTTTATCTCAAAATAACAATTCTGATGCCAGTTTTGAAGGAAATAACGATAAAAGTTTGATTATCTTCCAGCCTTGATTAATAAGGTCAATGAGCAAAACATTATGTAACGCTTAATTACTCTGACAGCAATATAAGTTTAATCCAGCCGCTTTGGCAAGTGCTTGAGAATAATCTTGTTTCCAGCGTTTAATTAGTTTATCCCTTTCATACATGGAAAGCGATTTGCTCAGCTCGTCGGATAATTGAATGCGAGCGAGAGTTGCAGCCCAGCTGTGGGAACGAATGAATCGCAGCTGCCTCCGATGCCGTTTCTTAATGACACGCGCCTCAACACTTCTTTCTTTACACTTTTCCACTGCAATTAAAAAGCAAGACCAACACCTCTTTTCCCCGACCGGGCTGGAAATCGATACATTTGAGGCAAAAAAATTTGAAATAAATCATCTTTTGGCAGCCGACGAGAGAAATAAATTCTTTTGAACCAGTTTTGCGACGAGCAAAGTTTCATCAGATGCAAATTCCGATTTACGAGCGCACTGATAAATGATGATGTATGTGATGCGCGCGGCTCGAGAATGCAATATATTTTACGGCGCGTTCGCAACTTTTATTGCAGTTTCAATTTTATTTCTTTTTTATAACCGCAGCAGCGAGCGATATTATTACACAGCGTGGCCACTCTTCTGGCAGAATTACCACCGCAAGCCGCACTTACTCAGCAACGCCAAGATTAACACAATTTAATAATAATTAGGTTGAGTGCAACCTTTAGTCGCCACACTTATTGTGATTTCAGAGAGAATTACCAAGTCACTCGGGTGCACAGATGCGCTCCCCATTGTTAGCTTGCTCGGCTGTGACAAACTTTTTCATTGCTCTTGTCTCAACAACTGTGTACGAATTCTGAATAACAAGAATAACCTAGCATGTTCATGTAAAGTGGAATGCACCATTGGCACTGTGCCCATTTTTGAACAAAAGTAAATAAAATGAAACTGGCAAATAATGAGAGACAAGCAAGCGTTATTTTTTTCAATCCGAATTAAAATTAAATTTATTAATATGGCTCAAATGATAAAAACTGATCTTAAATACGATTTACTTTCGATCAAATATAAAATCAGAATTAAATACTTGTTTTAATGCTTATTTGGAATGTAATAACAGCTATGAAAATTTGTTTTATTGTTTGTTTTTGAAATTAAAAATTTTTTAGATGTAAATTACTTGATCCGTCAAAACTGTTGTTGTTATTATTAGAATTTTTGAAATTTGAAATAAACCATGATTTTTTAAAAAGAGACTTTGAATATGACAATAAGGAGGCCTTAATTCCTTTTTTGAACAAAATAATAACATAATTGTACTTCAATTTAAGTCTGCTTGTTTCCGTGAATTTTCGTTTCATTTTAAACAAACTTATAATTTTCTGAAGACTTATGAGCTGACAGATTCAGAGTTTTTTCCATGCAGACCCGAGATAGAAACCACGACCACCAGGTCACCTCAGCCAATCACATTAACCACTACGCCAAACACCGTCGGTTTTGCAATAGAAACCTTTTGCTCTCCAACGTCAAATTAGACACGCATGAACTTTCAATGAATGTTCTATTAAAATGTGCACGCAGGTGTGTTGAATTAATTGTAACCTTCTATTATTGTGCTTTGTATTGCGTATAAATTGAATCATGTGCTATAATAATTATTGATTGCCTCCTGAGAGTTTCCAAAGACCTACAAAGGCACAATGCGCGTCTCCAAGAAATTATTTAACAAATCTGCCGAGTGAATAGAAGATGAAACGGCGGCAAAGTTTGGCCAGAAACGAGCCCACCTTTGATCGTTCATAATTAAAATGGTTGTGGGCATGAGAAACGTACATTAATTTTTACTTGTGTTTTGGCATCGGCAGCACTACTAGCTCATTTATTATATCAACTTGGCAATTCTGATTCTCCATACATTACTTGTACTAGTAAAATTTTATTAATGGAAGTGAATGGAAGAAAAAATAATTTCAGCTCTATTCAATTCTTTTATTCTCTCACAACAGGTCAAGATTATTTGGGGCGGGAGGAATTCTAAATTATTCTATTACAAAATTCAGACTAATTGTAAAAAGGTCTCAGTGCTCAAAACTCCTTTTTCTATCATTGAAGTTGATTAAATGCGTGACCGTCTTTAAATCCGAGCAGCAGATTTATTTACATCGGCTCGTAAAAGCCGAGCCAAACAATAAAGGGCTGGTCGCATTTTTGGGAGGGGCCACCGCAGGGTTAAATTAATCCCGACGGATGCGGTTTTAGCGGTGTTTTGAAAGGGGCCGTAACACGCGACATCAAAATTTTGCAACTCTGACAGCAATTGACAATTAACCAGATTAAGCCGAGCTGAACGTATTAGGGCGTTATTATGCAAATGCACCCAAAGCGGAAGATAACGTAAAAAAAAATTACCACCGAAATCACGTCCACTTTTGTTTGCAAAATATGAGGTAAAATTTTACATTGAACCACGTAGGTCTGAAAAAAAAACGCTTTCCGCAGAAAAAGCGTTGAATTAGTTTTGATTCAAATACGGCGTAGCTTTATTTTTATATCGCAGCCATTTCAGCCGTTTTCCATTACCAGCTTTTTAAAGGCTTTTCACTCGTCGATGTAGAAAACTTGTAATGGTGAATTTAGTTCTGCATAATATTTTATTTAATCAGAGTTGTTGCAGCAGTAAATAGAAATGAAAATTTGTATTTTAATTCAAAATAAATCTTTATACCAGATTGAACCAGATTAAGGAAATGTTTTTTAGTATTTCTTCTGCTCAAAAAAGAGCCAAAATCGGATATTATTGCTTTTTATCGAAGGAATCATGAATTGGTTAAAATAAAATAAACTCAATAATAAAAAAAATAAAGTCTTTTGTTTCTAGAGGCTTCTTTGTTTCGTTTCTTCAGAGTTGACGGTACTGATTTTCAAAAGTTATATTAAAAATAAACGAAAAAAGCATGGACTTTCAAAATTATCCAAAAGTCCTTTTTCCAGGAAAAAATAGAAATTTCGTTTATTATTTCACTTTATATTGAATGAAAGTGGAGGAAAGAGGCATTATCGACAGAGTAGAGGAACTGAATTACACTTTCTCTTGTAAACGGGCTAAAGGTAAAAATCACTGAATTTTAGTAAATTATTCACTAATTTGATGTAATTATAAAATCGCAGGAAGAGAAAAGATATTTTTTGTAAAAAAAAAAATACATAATTTCAATGAAGTTTTGACCTTGTAAGAATTCCATGAAAGCTGAATTTTTACCAGTCAAAGTACTTGCAATGAAAAATCATTTTATCCTATTGCCTCTGCCAGAGTCTTGATTTGAATATCTTGGAATTATAATTTCAGAATTATCTTTCAACGACCATGACTTTAATTATAATTGACTTGGACACGTTTTCTTGATGGTTCAATGGAAAGACGAAATTGTTACATAAAAGTTATGAACAGTAAGAAATAGTTCAGACTTCGTTTTGGCACAAAACATACATATTTAAAAATTGGAGATAATTAAAAAAAAATCGATTTAAAGGTTAAAAATGTTTTTACCGGCCAGAGTATTTTTTTTTTTTTACAAAAAAATGTCACTTACAAAAGTTGTAGGAAATTTAATTTTGCACATTTTACGTATTTACTACTTTCTTCTAAATCCAAAAGGAAATGTAGTAGAAAAGCAGTAATCTTCAAAAATGTGGTTTTCTTCACATTTTTGCTCATTTTCAAAACTGAATTTTGGCCTAGAATGCTCAAAATGACCGGAAGTGTTGCCCTTTTATATCTAGGATGGATCCCGCCAATTTGGAGAACTCTTGTTAAAACCTTTCAAATGCTGAAAGTTGAGTATTTATTTTAACTTTAAAACCTTTAATTTATTTTTATCTATTTTGACTACTCATGAATGTTTCCCACTCGTTAAACTCGCCTACCTTTGATGAAGTCGACGGCCATCTCGAGGCCGTACGTGTCCTTGTCACAGTCGTCGAGGATGTGGGCGCCCAAGGTGCAGCCTGGCAGAAAGTTTTTGTCCTCGTTGACGCGGTCGATGGTGTAGAGCATGGCCTCGAGGGCCTGCACGCCGCCCTGGGGCATGATGGGCCCGCACGTGATCGAGTCCTCCCTCTCGTGCACCATCATCAGCCCCCCGAGCACCAGGTCGCCCTCGACGACGGCCTCCTTCTTGACGGGCCAGGGGGCGGCGGCGAAGGTGGCGCCGCCACCTGAGTGCGCCGCCTGCACCAGCCCTGAGTAGTGCCTGAGGGCGCGCGAGTGGCCGTGCCTGGTGCGCGGCAAAAAGTGGTGCGCGCGGTGGTGGCCGGCCGAGCAACACCCCAGCAGCCACAGCAACAACAAGAGCCACGCCATCGTCCTTCAGAACAACATTTTGCAGAGCGCGGCGGGTTGCCTGTCCTGCAGGAGCGGAGGCCGACGAGTGAGTCTCGGTCGCTCCCTCGGAACAACGCGCACCCGCGACCAAACACATGCGCAATTCGCCCGCCTTCATGAATGGGAAACTCGGAGGAACCGCCCGCGCTTGCCATTCCGTACAAAGAAGGCATTGCAAGCGGGTCAACTTTGTTTTCAAGTGCACTGGCAGAACAAAAAATAATTGCTCAAGAATTATATAACAAAAGAGAAAGGAAAACTTTACAGACCGAAGAAGCAAAAAAACATTAATCTAACATAATAAAAATGGTACAAGTAAGTTTTAAACATTTTATTTAAGAGTAAAACAGAAAGTTTTTAGCTGAAACTTTGCGAGATTAACATGGCTTTAAAGTATGGATTAAACACCAAAATTTAGACTTTTCATTAAGAAATTGATATTTTAATGACTCAAAAAAGCACAAGCTTAATCAAAACCCAGAGAATTAAGGCAAACAGAGTAACGGAACTGACTTAGATTTATGGAGCTCATTTTGATTTTTCGAGCCTAAAAAATTAATTTCAGAGTTTATATTACCCTCATCAAGTTGGAAAAAATAAAATGAAAAGGTCATTCAACAAGAAAAAAAAAGAAACAAAATGTACATTCATCACAAATTAAACAGTTCAGTAAATAATTTCTGGGTGTAAATATACCAAAAGCTCCTCTTTCATTTGAAAATTTCCTATTAACAATTTCAAGTTTATATTTCCTCATTTATTTTAATTAACTTTGCCTATTTATATTAAAATTAATGAAATATTCATAATGTAAATTAAATTTGAAACGAGATCTTTTGTAATAACGCAAAATTTTGATTGCATAAATATAATTGCCAGCCTGTCATAATAATAATTTCCCTCTCCGTTTTACAAACCCTCTCGCTGACGTAGTTATATTATAATAATTACCTCGGGCGGGAGTTTGTGTTACTTTGTTATGTGCGCTGTTTTGTGTGCCTTTTCGCTTCTGTGCAAATTCGTTTTGTGCGCGCGCCGAGTGTGTTGAGTTTTGCGTCGAGTGTTATTTCATTATTTATGCACCGCTCCCGCGAGCAACAATTGCGCGACGAGCGCGGATTTCAAGAGGGGCCTCAACGCTGTTTTCATTGTCTTAATTTACTTTGCGCTGTAAAAAGAACACATTTTTTTTTTTTTTTTATAGCAAAGGTAAATGCCAACGGGAGCATGATTAAAATCGTGTATTGAATTTCAGTGAAAAGAGACTCGTCAAAGCTGACCACTCGTGGGAAATGTAACGGTGTTGGAAACGATCCAATTAACAACTCCAATAATACCCACAGTCATTCAATATGTGGGCCAACAAAGATCTATTGATGTATGTTTAATGCGGCATTGAGATAAAAAAAAAACTGGAAATGTTTTGACATAAAACATATAAAAGTCAATGTTAAACCAGTCATTATTTCACTCCAACATACAATTTTAAACTACACCGCAATTTCCTGTTTTCGCGTGTATTTTGCTACTGCATATTTAAAAAGCAGACATTTTTCTGGTTTTTTTTCTTCTAATTTGTTTTAAAAATGAATTACAAAAATAAAAATAAAATGGGGTAGTGGTATTTGGACCGAATGACCTGAAGAGGACGTTGGCCGAATGGACATTGTCCGAACAACTTTGGCCGAATAGCTTTTTGACATTGACGGAATAGTTCAACCCCCAAAACGATTTTGACCTAATAAAATCGACTCATAAAACCAGGTTTTTCTGAACTGCATGAGTCGGAGCCGAATCAGGAGTAAGAGGCGAAAAATGGAGCCGGAGTCGGAGCAAGAGCCGGAGTCGGAGCAAGAGCCGGAGTAAGAGCCGGAGTCGGAGCAAGAGCCGGAGTCGGAGTAACAAGTGCACTGCCGGCGAAAGTTGGAGCCGGAGCCAGAGCCGAAAGCCGGAGCCGGAGTCGGAGCAAGAGCCGGAGTCGGAGCAAGAGCCGGAGTAAGAGCCGGAGTCGGAGCAAGAGCAGGAATCGGAGTAACAAGTGCACTGCCGGCGAAAGTTGGAGCCGGAGCCAGAGCCGAAAGCCGGAGCCGGAGTCGGAGCAAGAGTCGGAGTAAGAGCCGGAGTCGGAGCAAGAGCCGGAGTAAGAGCCGGAGTCGGAGCAAGAGCCGGAGTCGGAGTAACAAGTGCACTGCCGGCGAAAGTTGGAGCCGGAGCCAGAGCCGAAAGCCGGAGCCGGAGTCGGAGCAAGAGCCGGAGTCGGAGCAAGAGCCGGAGTAAGAGCCGGAGTCGGAGCAAGAGCCGGAGTAAGAGCCGGAGTCGGAGCAAGAGCCGGAGTCGGAGTAACAAGTGCACTGCCGGCGAAAGTTGGAGCCGGAGCCAGAGCCGAAAGCCGGAGCCGGAGTCGGAGCAAGAGCCGGAGTAAGAGCCGGAGTCGGAGCAAGAGCCGGAGTAAGAGCCGGAGTCGGAGCAAGAGCCGGAGTAAGAGCCGGAGTCGGAGCAAGAGCCGGAGTCGGAGTAACAAGTGCACTGCCGGCGAAAGTTGGAGCCGGAGCCAGAGCCGAAAGCCGGAGTCGGAGCAAGAGCCGGAGTAAGAGCCGGAGTCGGAGCAAGAGCCGGAGTAAGAGCCGGAGTCGGAGCAAGAGCCGGAGTCGGAGTAACAAGTGCACTGCCGGCGAAAGTTGGAGCCGGAGCCAGAGCCGAAAGCCGGAGCCGGAGTCGGAGCAAGAGCCGGAGTAAGAGCCGGAGTCGGAGCAAGAGCCGGAGTAAGAGCCGGAGTCGGAGCAAGAGCCGGAGTAAGAGCCGGAGTCGGAGCAAGAGCCGGAGTCGGAGTAACAAGTGCACTGCCGGCGAAAGTTGGAGCCGGAGCCAGAGCCGAAAGCCGGAGTCGGAGCAAGAGCCGGAGTAAGAGCCGGAGTCGGAGCAAGAGCCGGAGTCGGAGTAACAAGTGCACTGCCGGCGAAAGTTGGAGCCGGAGCCAGAGCCGAAAGCCGGAGCCGGAGTCGGAGCAAGAGCCGGAGTAAGAGCCGGAGTCGGAGCAAGAGCCGAAAGCCGGAGCCGGAGTCGGAGCAAGAGCCGGAGTAAGAGCCGGAGTCGGAGCAAGAGCCGGAGTAAGAGCCGGAGTCGGAGCAAGAGCCGGAGTAAGAGCCGGAGTCGGAGCAAGAGCCGGAGTAAGAGCCGGAGTCGGAGCAAGAGCCGGAGTAAGAGCCGGAGTCGGAGCAAGAGCCGGAGTCGGAGTAACAAGTGCACTGCCGGCGAAAGTTGGAGCCGGAGCCAGAGCCGAAAGCCGGAGCCGGAGTCGGAGCAAGAGCCGGAGTCGGAGCAAGAGCCGGAGTAAGAGCCGGAGTCGGAGCAAGAGCCGGAGTCGGAGTAACAAGTGCACTGCCGGCGAAAGTTGGAGCCGGAGCCAGAGCCGAAAGCCGGAGCAGGAGTCGGAGCAAGAGCCGGAGCCAGAGCCGATGATCAATAAATAAATAGGTGAGGGTTCAAAATAAAGCACTAATTTAAAGTTCCTGCAGTGCCTGCAGTAAAAAAAAGAATGATAGAATTTTTGCAAATTTGAACTTTTTAACCAACAAAAGGAGAAACTGCACATGTAATAAATCTTTTTATGATTACACATAATTTCCTGTCGGACGTGTTTCGCCGCCTGCCAAATTAACCAGCAGAAGTTTAGTGTGTTGGTGTAAGTAATTAACTGAGGACGTACAATGGTGATTAGTAACGCAAACACGGTGCAATAAATCCGGCATGCAAGATGCACCCTCGACAATAATTACTACACCGCGCGTTTTGGCAACCTGCTTTGAATTAATCCATTCGAACCCAACGTACAATGTGCATGCTAATTAGAATGTGCACTACATTGTTGTGCTCTCAGCAGGCAATAAACACACGGCTCGGCGTATTATCGCGCCGACAGCCTCTCCTGCGGGACTCCAACTTAATCTCTCTTGAGAGAGAGAAAGAAAAACTCGGGGCTCGGCCTTGTTTCTGCAAAATCCGGAGATTGCGTCGTGTGACCTACAAACGCGGCGCTTTGTGAATAAATCGGCGAAAAAGCCGCGGTTAAACATGGGGTGACTGTCTGGAGGACCTGTTTGCTTTGGCAACTTTCTTTCATCAAAGAGACCAAAGCCGCTTTCAAAAAGTCATGAGATTTTGCATTTTGCTTGTTCCTTTCGACCGAGCAAACAGACAAGAAGTACCAAAATGTTCTTGCGATTTCATGCTTGAGCGGCTCAAACTCGAGTATAATGATTATTTAGTAGGATTTTCCAATATCTGATTTGAGATTAAATATAATTTAATATTCAATTTTTTTCTCCCTCATTTGATATTTTGAAACTTAAAAACCCAAAAATAACAGGATAATTGATATTTATCTGAACATAAAATGATATTTTTTTTTATCAAGAAGTGAAAGGTAATTGCAACAATTGAGACCAATCTTTTAAAGCTCTGACATATATTCCGATATATTCATTAAAATCAATATATTTTATGGTTAAATTGATTAACTGACATCCCAACGGTATTAAATTGATTAATAATTTGTCGCTAAATCATCAAGTTAAAATTCAATCAAACGCAGCTGCATTTGATTTGATTACAGATTAGCCAGGTACAGCAAATTTTAATCAATTCAGAAAAATCATCAACTCGTGAACTGCAGCGTAGGCAACGCGCCCAGCAAATTGCATACCCACGCAAAAAAAATCGGAACTGCGTCAAAGAGCAACTTAACTTAAGCAGGAAAAAGGAAAAAACGGACTTGGCTCTGAGAAAATACAGCTGCTTTTTGGAATAATACCAACTTATTTAAGTTGCTGAAAATTTGCATCGAATGCAAAAGTTTATCGTGGTTCAAAATGGCAAAGGAACTCATTAACGAGCTGCCGACTCGAAGGCTAATCAAAAAAATTATTCCGCCGGTTGCTATTCAACTCTTGAAAGGGTTCAGCTTTCCCATTACTTCTAATTACCCGCTTTTAATTGGCCACGTTTCTCGTCAACTCGAGCAAAAAAAAAATGAATGCACAGTGTAAGCTTGGTCGTCGTTCAGGGAGTCTCTAAACAATAATTCACGGTAATAATAGCCCTTTTTGTGCAGAAAAAATGGGTGAGGGCAGAAATACTGAAAAAATTATTCAACCACCTAGAAGCGTGGCTTGACTTAATCGACATAAAATTTGATTCACTCTTGACTGAAGGTTAAAAAACACAAGGCATTTAGAATAACAATTATTGTCTTTTTAACTAATGCACATGTCTTATCAGTGAAATATCAAATTTTGATGACAATTTTACTTCTTCGTTTCTTCGATTTTTAGAGATGATTTCCATTGACTGAGGCATCATTTTAGAAGATAGCATTGGTTTAAATTGAGAACTGAATCATCAAATATTAACATCACACAATTTAAATAATTAATATATCTTTTATAAAAATAAAATAAATTATTTCAGCGTAAAAACTATAGATTTGAATTGATCTATCGAACTTCAATTAGAAATAATTGTCCTAAAATTTGGATAAATTTAATTTAATGCAATTTAATTTAATAATTTTTTTCACACATTAAAAAGTGGAAGATCTCCTCAAGAAAATGGGGCAACACAAAATGGAATTGTGGATGTTCTTGAGTTGCCATTTGCGCTTGGCAGGTCATGTTTGCTTGTGCATAATTTGAATAAATCGCTTCGTTACTCTGCGGCAGCGGATGAAGAATAAATGCCTTTTTGCGGCCTCACTCGCTCCCTTGTGCTTCAACTGCTTTCGGCTTAATGGAAAGAAAGGCGCGCGTCTCTCATAACGTGGGCATAAAAGCAGCGCCGCCGCCGCCGGAGTAATCAATATGCAAATGGGTGCGAAATTGTAAATTAGTGCACGCGCTCAAACGGTTTTTGCCAAACAATTATCACTCTCTTTCTCTCGCGGGCAATTTTCAATTCCAATGAAATAATTCACTCCTCTCAAAACTTTTTTCAACGGCAATAAAAAAGATGAAATCTCCTTTTCCAGAAGTAAATTTATTCTGCTTTCTTTTTTATTTATGCATTTTTTTTTTATTATTTTGCAGCGGAATTCACTCATCGGCCGAGAAATGAGGTTGGATGGTGAGAGACGCCGGCTGGGCAAAACAATTTTACATATAAATAGAATTTTCGCGAGTGGCCCCAGCTCAGAGTCAGTTTGATTAGCCGTCGAAAGGAAGCCAGGCCGAGGGTGTATCGGAGAGAAGGGCTTAATTGACTTTCGGCTTCTGTTGGATTAAAGACGACGCCCAAGACGCGACCCTTGAAAGAGAGGAGAAAGCGTTTTCCCATCATCTGATGCTCAAAAAAAGTATGAGTCTTTCCCATATAAAATGTGTACGACAATCATTTATATTATGTTTTTTATTTGTGATTTCCTATAAAAAAACAATGATTTTTTTTGCAGAAAATTTCAATCAACGGAAAATTCACTACACCTTTTTAATTATAAATTAGTCCTATGATTCAGGAAAATTGAATGAATTCAATAATTCTTTACAGAATGAAAATAGATTTCATAACATTTTATAAATCTTCAGTAATTTTTTCCATTAAATGCAGCAAAACTATCAATTTCTGTAATTTAAATGAAAAACGAGTCTTAATCAGCTTCTCCAGATGTTGATTTTGGTGAACTTTTTTTCATTTTACGTGAATTTTTTTAGTTTGAATTTTCACTTCATTTAGATGAATAAAGAGAAATCAAGGCAAAAAACACACTCGAATGATTTTTCCAATTAGTTTTCAATCACAAATTCATCAAGAGTTCCACAGGAATAATAATTACCAGCTCCATCTTCAATTTGCTTTGGCCCGTTGATGAAAATTTATTCTCCCTAAACCACTGAGATATGAATATTAAAAAAAAACTTCATCGCTCTCTGATGGACCGAGAGCTTGGATATTTCAATTTTCGGTACAAATAATTCCCCGAAAATATCCAAGTTATGATTAAATTTCACCCAACTTGCTGGTTGGGCCTGGGGAGAGTTTGCCGGTGAGGTTCTTTGACTATAAACACAGTCTGTTGGAAATCTAATTTTAGCAGATCAAAGCAATATGCAGGAAAGATCCATGAACTTCTTTGGATTCGGACCTTTGCCGAGAGCACTTTTCTGACGACGGTCTCTGAAGTGTATATTTTGAGCTCATTTTGATTGCCAATGGGAGTTTATTTGCAAGCCTTTGTATTATCTAGGCTGGTAATAAATCATCGTTTCGATTGAGCCACTTGGGAACTTTCCGCGCCACCTCCTCCCTAAAATTTCCGCTTTCACGTTTTATTGGAACTTCTCACTTTCTCTCTCCCTGCGTGAGGATGTTGAAAATTTAATAATGGACTGTTGTCGAAAACGCTCTCGGGCGTTTTACTTCAAAAATGTTCATTTGGAAATGGAATGAGAAGGAAAGGCTCACAAAAGCACGTTTGATTCGAAATGGAACGCAACTCTCTGGTGTCAACATGTTTTCAATCAAACTTTCAAAAGATGCGTCTCTGAAATTTCCCCGCAGGATAATGTGTCAAATCAGAAATAAAAGTTATAATTGGTTGTTTTATTTTCACAAACAAGAAGCAGACTTTGGTTTTAATTAAATATAAAATACATTTCTGTAATAAAGAATAAAACTTGGGCTTGTTCCTTGTTTAAAATGTTTCTTTTGTTATTCGGTTAAAAAATTCGATCAAATTCGGTGTGTCAATTAAATAAATAAAAGGTAATTTACAGGAAGAGGAACAATAAAAATGGTAATTTAAACTTACTAATATAAATCTTTATGAATTCAAATGTTTAAAATATTTGATCGAGCTTATAGATTTTCAACTCCAAATTTTAATGAAGTTTTAAAAACCCTTGACGTGTAAAAAAGACGCACTTTTTTGTCACGGCAGTTTTTTGCTATCTTCTCTTATCAAACATGGAAGTGATGCTGCGTTGGCGAGATAATTCGTCAAGCTCATTTCCTCGCTCACGACGCAAAGTGGCAGCCAGGAAGGCGAACGTAACCCCAGCTGCAGTCGCCGTAAGCGTATTTGTGTCACTTTAAAGACGCATTTCGCCGAGCAGAGTGGGTGTTTGTGGCAGCTGAGAGGACCCTTTTTGCAGCTGCGAAAGATAATCCTCCTTTCTCTCTCTCTCTCTCTCTCTCAGCGCGCATCAATAATTTCTCCATCCAAGCCAAACGACATTGTTTACGAGGAAAAAGCGAGATAGCGAATTTTATATTTCACCGAATTTGCATCCGCTATCTTCAAATACCTTCCCGCAGAAATGAAAAGTGTAGTGCTCCGTCCCAGCA